AACACAGGCCCACCTGCCCAGGGGTGGCACCACCCACAGTGGGCTGGGCCCTCCCACATCAAACATCAAGAAGATGCCCTTCAGACATGGCCATAGGCCAGTCCAATAGAGGCAATTCCCCAATTGAGGCTCCCTCAACCCAGGTGTGTCAAGTTGACACTAAAGCTATCCAGCACAGCAGCCATGTTGATTGGTCTTGTTACCTTGATGGTAATCAAGAATAAATTTTAGAATCACCTAGGAGACTTTGAGACCCACCCCTGCAAGTGCCCATAAGGACACTTCCAGAGAGGTTTAACTGAAGTGCAAGGATACAGCCTAAATGTGGGCGGCAGCACCCCACGGGCTGGGGGTCCCAGGCTGCTTTCTGATTATATGATCCATCTATCAATCAAAACAGAGAATCGTCCTTATTATACCCATCAGTAAGCAAACTGCCCCCTTCTCTTGAGCCCCATAAATAGAAGCCCCAAACAATCATTGGAACCCTTGACTATCTTTATGTGTCCCAATGCTCATTTGCAATGTATTCTTGCTTTTATAGTGCTTTGTTTTAAATAAAGGGCAAAAACTAGGCATTTCTTCCAAAGTCTGAAGAGACAAGGGCAACCATACTCTCCACTCTGATTCAATGCAACACTCAAAGTCTTAGAGCAGCAAACACTTTGCTCTAGATTTTTTTGAGACAAGTTCTCAATATGTAGTGAAAGTGGCCACAAACTCATGATCGTCTTGCCTTAACCAAGTGTTGGGATTACAGGCTTGTGCCTCCTGGCTTTAGGCAGCAGCTTTTACATAGCAAACAATAACAAGCATATATATTAATATACACAGTAACATTAATATATTATATTACACATATGTATTACTGTATATATTAATATATATATGCACTGAATTTTTGTCTTAAAATTAGCATAATTGGGGCTGGAGAGATGGCTCAGTGAGTGATTAAGAACACTGGCTGTTCTTGCAGAAGACCCAGGTTCAAATCCCAGTACCACATGGCAGCTAACCACTGTCCATAACTCCAGTTCCAGGGGCTCCAACAGCCTCTTCTGTCTGTGGACACTGCATGACATGGGTGCGCTCACATACACATAGGCAATACACTCATACACATAAAATAAAATAATTTTAAAAATCAGCACAACTGATTTAAACTGCTGTAGTCTATTAAAAAGGAATAAGGGACAACAATCCTACCGTGAGAACTATGTAGTATTTGTACCCTACCTACTTCAACTACAGTCTGAAATTTGCATGAAACGTTGTTGAAGCCTGTTGCAGTGCTGGTTGCCGACCCAAGATACTCAAGCACCACATGATATTTATTCTTCAAGGGATTTCAGAATTTAATGTATTTTCTTAAAGATGTTTATAAAAGCACACATAAATTATGCTTGCATTTCCTCTAAAGCATCACACAGAATCCAAGGAGTGTGTTCACAGAACAAATGGAAAGAGCATTCATGCAGCCAGTGTTGGACTACCAGATAAAGATACCAGATAAAGCGGGCTTGGAACAGCCTTTCCATAATCTCCCTCTCTCCCTCCCCCTCCCCCCTCCCTCCAGATTTCGCTTTAGGAATGCCTGACAAGAGAGAGCAAGAAATGGGGTGCAGAGTAAAACAATCCTTAACTTCACTGTGATGAGATTCCGGCCACATAATCTCCAAAAATGACAAAATGAGATCAGACTGTGTCACCACAACATAGGCCACCTTGGCAGTATTATTTTAAGCTAAACGATACTGAGAACCAGTCAAAGCAGAAAAGATCTTTAATTTCTCTTCAATTCCTGAAAGTTTTAAACTCTTTTGTGTAAAAGAAATTTAAATATAAGGAAAATTTCATTAGCAAACACACCTATCAGGGAGAGAGCTAGCCCAAGACAATGTCTGAACTTGGGGCCTGGTAAGCATCCTTTCACTGAGCTCACATCCATCACCCTGGAAGGGACATGTATCTGTACCAGGGAGCCTTTGATCACCACACATTTCCCTTGCCACCATAATTTGTTTCCACTACACCTCAGAATTGTCAAATATATATTCTTTTCAGTCACCCAGGATGATATTTGTTGACCTCACTTAGCCACTTCAACGGTTTTGTTTTGGAGACAGGGTCAAAGTCTATAGTCCTGGCTGGTCTGCCATTGAATTCTTGGCAATCCTCCTGCCACAGAATCCCAAGTGCACATGGCACCACAACCAGCTTGTCTCCTATTTTCGTGAAACTGCTATTGCACAATACATAATTGTTTTTCTCCTGCTGATGAGTCTTGTGTCAACTGATTCTTTTTAAAATATTTATTTTTATGAGTGTTTTGCCTGCATGTATGTAGATGCACCTGTGTCGTGCAAAGCCTTTGGAAGTGGAGTTAGACTGCTGGTGGCAGCCACGTGGGTGCTGGGAACTGAACCCCGGTCTTAGACAAGAGCAGCCAGTGCCATCCCTCTAGGCCCCAATTTGATTCTTAGCCGAGCAAAAGCGCCTAGAAAAGGCAAACGCAATTGTCCCTCCTCTCTAACCCTCTTCTCTAACTCGTGATGGACTGTTCCAAGGTCAGGCTGGCAGAGGCAACACAAGCTCACAGAACTAGAGGGCCTCCCCGGGGCAGCCCCCCTGCACCCGGACACACCCACCCCGAGGCAGGCCGGTGAAACAACACCCACCCCTGGAAAGACACTGCACAACAAGAACTACTCTGAGGCTTTGCACACGGAGGTGGAAACCACCCCAGCGAGGAAGCAGCGAGTGACATGGAGCGGACACGCACCGGCCAACCCCGGCCTAAACCTAAGCCACCCAACGTGGTTTTACAAAGGACGCTACTGCGGTCAGACGCAGAGCCTGCTGGGAGTTGTAGTGCAGACGACAGCGGCGCAGCGGGAAGGTCGCTTGTCCACGGACCGGGGCTTTTTATTTTCTGAGACAATTACTGTGTAGCCAGGGGCTCGTCCCGCACGTTCACACTCGCAACTCTCCTGTAAAGCCTCCAGAGTGCTGGGTTCTGGGATGCACGCGGGCACGAGCCAGGATAACCTTCTTACTTCCGTTCTGTCATGGCAGCACTTCCGTCTTATCCTGCAGCACTCCCCCAACCAGGAGCGGGATTCCGGCCGAGGCCCTCGCTAGCCCCGCCCCGCATCATTGCTGGCCACGCCCCGTGCCCTCGCTGGCCTCGCGCCGTACTCTCGCTGACTACGCCCTCCGCAGCCACAGGCCAGGTCCCTCGTGACTCGGGGCGGGGCCTCCGGGCAAGGCGGGGCGCCCGAGCTCCCGGCTGGCCCACGGCGGCTCGGTGCTCTCTCCTGCTAGAGGTGCTTGTTTTCCCGCCATGGATCGCGCGGCCGTGGCGCGGGTGGGCGCGGTGGCGAGCGCCAGCGTGTGTGCGGTGGTGGCGGCTGTGATGCTGGCCCAGTACGTGTTCACCTTGAAGAGGAAGACAGGCCGCAAGACCAAGATCATCGAGATGGTGAGTTCGGGGACCCGCACAGCGGGGCCGGGACGGGGTCCGGAGCGGCGCGGGTCCCACGACGCGCTTTGCGCGGTAGGCGTCGGGAGGAGCGAGGCGAGTGGTGCAGGAGATGAGCTCATCTGCAAAACCCGAGTCTCCGCCAACGGTCTATGGATCGGGCACACGTTAATCGGATACCGACTGGGGACCCGGAACTTGTGGGCTGGGCTGCCGCGAGCCTGGCGGTGGGAACTGAACCCGTACCGTCGCGGACTGGACTGTAGCCCGTGGCGGTTAAGCATGGCTTAGGTTGCGTGTGTCCATCTCCCCAAGCGCCAGCCTTGCTAATGTCAGTCTCAAGAATTCCACCAAAGTCGACTGTGCGTCCTACACTTTTTGTTTGGTTGGACCTGACGGGCATGAGGAATGTAATTTATTTATTGGAATGCATTGTCACGGGTGTACTCCCCATAGTGTGCTACACATGTGAACATCCAGGACCAAGAAATAAGCTGAGAATCTATTATTATTATAGATTATATTTATGTGATAATACTTGAAATGGTTCAAACTGGTGAAAGAGATGCGTTGTCGTACTGGTTGGTATCCATGGCATAGGTTGAGTATAGGAATATTTTACCATAATTAGAAGTTAAAAATACTTCCTCATATACCAATAAGCGTAGGTTTTTAAAATTAATTTATTCTTGTATTCTTGCAGTTTATTTTCTCTACCTCTGTATACCCTAGTAGCAACTGTTTTGTTGTTGTTGTTGTTGTATTTGTTTTGGTCTTTTTGAGATACAGTCTCCCTAGCTGTCCTAGAACTCGCTATGTAGACCAGACTGGCCTAGAACTCACAGAGATCCGCCTGCCTCTGCCTCCCAAGTCCTGGGATCAAAGGCGTGCACCACGATGCTTGGCCTCTTTTTAGGTATCAAAAATTTTGTTTTCATGTTGCTGCACTGTTTAGAGAACTTCAGTGGTTTTGTTTTACTCCAAACTCAAAATTTATAAGTGTAAAAAGTTAATTTCTGTATCTTTCTGTGCATAAACTGTGGATTGTTTTTTCACAAAATCTTAAGGAATAACTTGTTTTTGGTCTGAAAAAGAAAAAATGAAGGCCCATCCAGAATGCCAAATTATTTGCACTGTAAAAAATCAGTCCGTGTTTACACGTATGCATAGTACTTATTTTAATTTAGCTGTAAATGTGTGTGGCCTGCTAGCAGCTTTTCAATGGGAAACGTGAAAAGGGTTTTAGAGTTTTACCTCGTAATTTTAATAGATTGCTTCTTTAGATGGGAAAAGTAGTTGGATGACCCAAAATAATGGCCTAGGCGTAGTCCTGGTTTCTTCTCTTTGTAATAGCCTTGTTTTAGGGGTCTGCTCTGCCCACCCCCACCCTCTTCCCACACAGAATTTGTACAAATCCAGCTGTTCTGGTGATAAATAATGGATAACTGCCTAACCAAGATGGGCTAGGAAAAAATGACATCAGTGGGGTCCACTGAGCCCATGGTGACCCTTCTGCTGCAACCTCCTGAGTCCTGAGAGTACGCCTGTGAACCACCCTGCCCACAAACGGGGTTTGTTTGTTTGTTTAATTTTATTTTATGTATTGCCTGCATGTAGGTAAGTACACCCATGTCATGCAATGCCTGAGGAGAACAGAAGAGGCTGTTGGATCCCCTGGAACTGTAGTTACTGACAGTTGTTAGCTGCCTTGTGGGGGCTGGGATTCGAACCCGGGTCTTCTGCAAGAACAACCAGTGTTCTTAACCGCTGAGCCATGGCTCCAGCCCCACACAAACAGATTTTTAATTGAAAGACTTAAGTTGCCAGTGAGCCATGCACACTTCTGTGGACATGTCCAGTAAGATAGTAACTAAAACATCCAGAGGAAGCCATTCAGAAGGCATGCTGGAGTATGAGCGGGGATGAAAGGAACCACAGGGAAGTTGGGTGGTTTTTCCTTCCAAATGTATCCTTTTGTTTGCTCCAGGAGTCTCTGTAATGCCTACCCCTACTTGTTAATGGAGCTAGTTTGGGGTAGATTTCAACACACACACACACACACACACACACACACACACGCACACACGGTGTGTGACCCAGGGCTTTACATGTGCTAGACAAACATACTTACATCCCCAACCCATTTTTAATTTTTATTCTTGACAGGGTCTTCCTTAGTTGCCCATCCTTGTTTTGACTTTTCAGCCTTGCCTCAATTGGAATTATAGGCTTGCACCACCATTATCTTTTTATTATACCTAAAAAATCTTTATTACACCTGAAATCTCTTTAAGATTACTAATTAATTTAACATAATCAAATACTTGGAGTAAACTTCATTGTAGAACAATCTTAGTTTGCAGTAATATGGACAAGTTAAGAGTAAAGTTCTCATAATGCCCTACCAGTTTCCCTTGTTATTAACCTCTTATATTTGTATGACTCAATTTGATAACAGTTAATGAACAAATACTGATTTGTTATTAAATGTCCATGCTTTATCCAAATATCCTTTTTTTCTTAATGCCCTTCTCTGCCCCAGGAGCTGCTCCTGGGTACCACATTGCACTTAGTCACCATAGCTCCCCCTCTGTGATGGTGGGGTCAAAACCAGGGCCTCTTACATGCACGTTCTATCCTTGACCTACACGCTGGCCTCCTTATTGCCTCTTGACTGTGACACTTTCTCAGACTTAACTTGTTTGTGTCCCTCACCATTTCTGATAGTTGTTAGGTATTTTGTAGAATGTCCTCGGTTGGATTTTTTCTGAAGTTTTTCATGATTCACTAGCGTTCTCAGAAGAAGATGGCAGGCGAGGTACTATTTTCATCCTACATCCAGGGTGCATAGGGTCATCCTGACTCAGGACTTTAACGTTGGTGGCCTGGTTGAGGTAGTGCTTGTCAGTTACTCCCCGTTACCGCCTTCTGTGCTGTGCTCTTTGGAGGGGACTTGGTGTGAGAAGTTCACCGAGTTAGGATTCACATCCTTGAAGGTAAAGTATAAACATAAATAATTTGGAATTGTTCTGCATGGGAAACCCCCCCCCCCATTTATTTTCTTATGTGGTCACATTTGTATCTGTACAGACTAGTAGATATTTATTCTATTTTGGGATTGTGATTCAGCACGACTTTACTTTGTGGCTTATGTTGTTCCCAGGTTAACCACTGAGAGCTCTGCAATTGGCTCTTCTGTCTCTGTCACATTACAATCAAGTCAGTAAACTTTTCCATCTGAAAAGGAAATATTGGGTGCCCAGTAAATGATGTGGCAAGAGCAAAAAGGGGTGGAACAGAGGTTTGGGTTGCCTGGTTTTGTTGTGAAGCAGGGTCTTGCAGTATTACCCATGCCAGTCTTGGACCCATGGACTTAACTGATCCTCCCACTTCACTCTCTCCTGTAGCTGGGACCACAGGTGTGTGTCAGTACACCTGGTATCTAGAGTGGAAGTTTCAGACTACGCCCATATGCCCAATCCCACTCAGATTCCCTTTTGAGTATTGATTTTTTAGTAATCTGAAGTTTTTTAAGTTTAATTTTATTTAAAAATTATAAGGCACACAAAAAATTATAAGGTGGGCCAGCAAGATGGAGGCACTTGCCACAGGGGGGCTGACAATACTGACTCAGCAGTCCTCCTGTAACCTCATCACACTTGTGATGCACACACTTCCCCTCCCCAGCCACATACAAACTAAACGAATAGATGTAATTTTAAACTCTTAAGGATATAATTTTGTGGCACATGAAAATTATATGAATTTCATGGTTCCTGGATGTGCTGATTTATTGAGACAGGATCTTTCTCCTTGTAAAACTCAGGTTGGCCAGGAACTCAATGATCTTCCAGCCTTGGCCTCCAGAATGCTGATTACAGGAATCTATCATGACAGATTCCATGTTTATTACAACATAATCATAACTGTTCATTTTTATGCTTATAGGGAGTACTTCATGCAACAGCATTAAAGTTGAGTAGTTGAGACCGTAGATTACTTCCTGCTGCTTCACACATTAACAACAACACAACATTTCAGGTACCACCGTATCGCATACTATGTGAAAAACTATTTTCAAAGAAGAAATATGTATAAATGTCAATACAGGCAAGCACTATAAGTGAACATTTGCAGTGAATTTTTTTTTTAATTTCCTGTACCTAGGGCCTTGTGCATACCAGGCAAGCACTTCATGAGCCCATTTAAAATTTTTTTCTGAGATTGAGTCTCAGTAGGTTGCTCAGACTGGCCTTCAATTTGCAGTCCTCTGTATTAGCTAGGATTACAGATGTGAGACCAAGCCTGTGACAATAGATTTTGATGATACAAAATGCTGATATTGGACCACAACTAAGTGAAATGTTAGCAGAAAACAAACTAAAAAACAGCAATAAAAGTCTCCCAAGCAAGGCTTGATGCTTCTCAGTAGAACCTGTATTCTAAAAATCAGTGCTCAGTTGTGTTCTGTCGCTGTTCCATCAGTAAGGTTGTAGAAATGTATGCTTTGTTCTTAATTTTTTTAGTTATTATTGCATGTGTGTACCTGATGCTAGGGGGCATGCACATGTGTGTGGAAATCAAAGGACAACTTTGGAGTCGGTTCTCTCATTCCACCATTACATGGGCTCCAGGGATCAAACTCAGGTGGCCAGCTTGCGGTGCCTTTACCCCCTGAGCCATCTCATTGATCCCAGTACTCTTTTAAGACAGGGTCTTGCTGTGTAGCCCAGACCAGCATGGAACTCACGGCTGTCCTGCCTTGAGAATGCTGGGATTGCAGGGATGAGCCATCGTACTTGGCTTACTAGGTTGGTTTTTATTCATGGACATTGTTTTCATATTTTATTCTTTCCAGAGAGCATTAATCTACATCCACATTAGCTTAACCCAAATATAAAAGCTTTAGCAATAATACAGTTTTAGGGATGTAGTAGGAATTGTAACTTGCCTCACAGAGGAAAAACCCAGTACTTAGTGCTAAAACAAGCATTACTGGT